GCAGCACTGCTTGATACCATGGGGGATTATTTCCCATAGGGAAGAAATTACTATTTTATCTTTACAAGAAATTAACTTTACTTTATCAGACATGAGGAGTTGATTAAAATGATGTGTACTTCAAAAAGTAGGATTACCTAGAATGTGACACGAGTGAAGAAGGAGTACTGTATATCAATTTGATGCTTTACTATAGTATACAGATGGTGGATTTTGTTTGCCTAAAGCACTGAAGGAGAAGAACCAGATTCGTTGGTGGTATACCAATACATATACATTACTATTCTGAACAGAAACCAATGATGGTCAGATGTACAATAGGTGATCCTTATTGAAAACAGCTGAGGGAGATTATGAGAATAATTTGTGAACTTGATAGGGTAATGTTTATACAGTAAAGGACTAGAAAACCAGAACAGAGCGATGGATTTAGCACATTTGGTTCCAGAAGTCTTGACCATAATGTAAATGCCAAAGGCAGGATCATGTCAAAGATCAAAAGTTCCATAATTCCTTTGGTCAGTTATTGGCAGAAAGTTTATATTTGGACTGGTCAGTCAGAGTTCAATGACAGTAAGGGCCATGTTTATGAAATATGAGAGATTTTGTTTAATCCAATTTAGATAAAAATGTTCATATGTGATCTGTGTATAATTGTAAAGTCACATGTGAAACAGGTACTTGTGAGATAAAAAATGTTGAAACCAGAGATAGTTAAATATTGGTTTGATTAGCTAGATCTATCCTCTGATATAGAGGAGTGTTCTTATACCAAATAAAACCCAATACACTATCATCTGTGTTCGATGAAACAGTAAACGATAGAGGGCTGGATTAATTAATTGAGATGGATAAAAAGACAGCATTAATTGACATATATAAACTACTCCTGTATTCCTATAGTATTACTTGGACATAATGTACTTGTGTTTTATACTGTATGTTTATACAGACGGTCCAACAATCCAATATAGACAAACTTAATTGTATATCAAATCAATATGACACGTTAGAGTGCGTTCTAGGTAACATATTGATGTTGATGTACATCAGAACTGACCAATACACATCCCTGTAGTCTCAACCGCGACCAAGCACACCACAGGTGTTATCAAATTTGTAAGGTAGTACTGTAAGTTTAATCCTATGTATATTTACCTGGGAGTTAATGGCAGACTTTATGGATTTGTATACACCTGTGCACTAATTGTTTAGCAAAACGATCGATTCCGGGTAGATATGTAATACAATGTAATGGGACATTATGTATACATTCAAATGAGATAAACATTGCCTGCTTGACTGATGAAGAATGGAGCGTAAACATTGTGTAAGAGATGAAGACGTGACTTTAAAGGGGTGGATTTTGACTAACTGGCTGTATTTGTGATCTTATCGACTATATATTGCAGCAGTTATACTGCTGGTGCAGAAAGTGTTTAAAGACTCCTCAGATTCATAGGGAGCAGTCAAACAGCAATCTGTATAAGGCTGTCCGTATTATATGTTGGATTATACGAATGTTTTACAAAAAAATCTAAGGAAGTTTACAAAATTTTGTTCTTTCATCATGACATTGAAAAAGTGAACTTGTGATTCTGTTGGAATGTGCTGGGGTAACAATAGAAAAAAGAAAATAGTTGGGAGTCTTAAGATTAGGATCAGGCAGCCCACCTGTCATAGTCGGTCTCACATGGTATCAGTCACACACCAGTAGATACTGCGAGGGCACCTTGACAGTCCTTTATGGCTAGCTAAGAGGATAACTAGAGCTAGTTAGAGGAGAATTAGCTGGAGCAGTAGGGGAGTGATATCCTTACACCTCCTTCATTGTACCTGTCAATGTTAGTGATAGTGGGAAGTTACTCAGTGTTAATATCACTCTTCTGAGGAATAGATTACCTAACTTGTATCACCTGTGTTACCATGGTGATGAGGAAATACACAGAATACATGTCATCTTTAATTCAACAAGTGTTTCCTGTCTCGAAGGACATTGCAACAAAAAGTGTTTTGAATTTGTGATATAAAACTGAAGCCATTTAGCTAATTTTGAAACAATGTTAAACTGTGTGTAATATATCTTATACTTGTTGATAGATTGGGAATTCTACAAAGGAAGATTTCATCAAAGCTGATGAAGTACAATACCTGTTGGAAACAAATTATAACAGCAAGTTATGCTCTTTCAATATTGGCCATATGTAGACTGAACATAGATTACAGAGTGAATATTTCAATGAAAGAATTATCAAAGACTGAAAATTACAAAGGAAATTTAAATACTAAAAGTTTTCTTTGTACGGAATCTAAATAATTCATCGATCGTGAATGTTTGTCAAAATCAGCTGGTATCGGAGGACACTATTCAGACTTGGAGGAATACACAATACACATGTTAACCAGTAAACTGTAAAGTGAGACACACTGTTTGTCTAGCTTCTGGGGTACTCCACTGCGAAACTCAAGTGGTACCAAAGTATCCCAATATGTGTAAAACAGCACATTGCCTTATTGACTTTCTTTGTGTTGAACACCCTATACGTTGACCTGGAGTCAAGAAGGCCCTCGGCAACAGATTATATGGCAGAGGACCTTGTCATTGACACTTAGCGTACTACCCTTGTCTGGAGAGGGTATGTAACTTCTCAAGTAGGGTTAATTCTCATTACAGCTTGCCAATATCGTTTCTCTGAAGAGGTTTAAATCTTGAAACTGCATGTGACCCATGTACTGTATACTGGAAATCAGAAGCTTGTGATGGATACTTAAAAATGTTTACGCTACAAATGTGATGAACGACATATAAAAAATGTGTAGAGAAGAAAACGGAGCGGGAGCGGATTTTGTTTGGAGTTAAGCACAAGACTTCTTGTTCTACACATTTATACACAATCTGGTCTGTAAAGTGGCATTCATACTTCATATATGATGAACAGACCTTGAAATGAAAGCATTTTCATGAGCAGAGAATTACATTTTTTTACCCGCTGAAAGAACTAGAGAGCTGTTTTATCTCTTTATTTCGAAGTAGGCTGTTTAATGCTGAGAGAAGTTTGGCATGGTGTTGACCTGCATCAAAGAACAATGTAAAATGTGATCTTTCTGAGGGAAGACTTTCTCTGTGTATCTGAAAGCTGGAGATAGGGGCTGGACCTTTGACAGAGCTGAGGTGTCTAGTGCTAATGTTATCGTGTAGAGTCTCACCACTCCTCCCTGACAAGGAACTGCTGGACTGTAGGGGAATTAGATTATCAAACAGCCTGCTGTAAAGCAGACTTGATGGCATTGTTTACTCTACAAAATCAGCTATTGTTTATATTTATCTGCTCTTGAAATTCTACTTTTAAAGGACTAACAATCAGGATTCTGTAAAATCAACTTGTTTGGATTTTGTGAAATAGACTTTACCATCTTCTGTTACCAGGAGTTACAAACCGGTACCAGTACTATCAGTCAGAGTTCTGTGTAAAAGACATGAGAGATAACATGGATTGTATAGTCCTGGGTGTCTTCTTGTTACTCAATAATTTCTACATGTAGTAGAGACTGGTAGATGAGAGACATTGAGGAAAAAAAAAATTGGAAGAAATTGGAGATTTCAGTTGGAATAACTTAATCAGACAAATAACATTTTCATCAGAATTCTGTTTTAGAATAACTTCATCAATGTATTATCCTTCATGTATCAGATAAGGTCATTGTGACGTATCAACTAGACCGATGTAAACACCATGTAGAGGTTAGGTTATCAGGATATGTATTCATCATTGGTGAAAATACATTCAATTTATTAGCTGGACGTGTTGATGACTAGTCACTTCTACAGGAGCAGCAGAATTATTGTCCATCGAACTGGAACATTAGTCGCATTGGTATTTCTCGGGGAGCTTCATAGCTGAAAAGTGATTGGATATATAAATGTGGCACGACTGCAAAATATTGTATCCTAGAGATTATACTGGACAGTGAATTCATTCCCTTCGGAAAAAAACTTACATGTGATTCTGTGATAAAACAAAAATCTGAGTTTTATTTAATTGCACTGACTGGCTTCATTTTTGCATTTTTCTAATTACAAATATCATACAGCTCTAGTGGCAGAAAAACATTTCTTGATAATGTTGAATCATTCAGTTTTTGAAGTTGTTGAAATTGGAGCTGAAGTTTAACATATGTCACATTCAGTCATATGTTCTGTAATTGTACATTGGATACTGCAGCACTGATATAATTTTGGGTAATTTGATAACTCAGAATATCAGGTTTTTTCCTTGTCCTTGGATGACTTATGAGAGGAAAGAGATTTATTTTTAAATGATCGGATATGAATCTATGGCACAGCTGTTGATCACAGATAGACTGGTGAAGTGATGTTATGTCACATGCTGTAGTACTGTGCAGAGTACATGTCTGTCTGTCAACGTCTCCTCACTTGACGCTCAGACAACAAAAAAAACCTTCCAAGTGTCATCGACAGATGGGGTGCATGACCTCTGGGTGCAGCAGCATTACGACCTAGTCTTACCCTGGAGGAGCTATTGTAGCATAGCACCAGTCAACAGCTGAGGGGTGTAGACACCAGTCACACATTCCCCCTTAGGCTCAGCATCATCTGGACAACTTATAGCAATGCCAATGCTACTGGGGAGTCCTGTGTCATTACATCTGTTGATATTTTCTCACATTCTTAATGGAAAGATAAAACACGAAACTGCGTGAAGCATTTATCATCTCCAGATACCATGGGATTTCTGTGAATCTATCAATTGTCACAGAGAGTGTAATTCTTTACTCTGAACATTTGGACCTTTGAATACCTGAACCAAGGAATGATAAAATGGAACACAATGTCAGATAGCTCAGAAATTCCTGGAGATTTTACATTGATTGGACTTGACGTGGAGTGTATGGTTTGATATAGTTGGTGACTGTTTTCTTGATGTCCCTGCTTTATGGAATTTACCAAGATAAGTATGTGATCTTCTTTGTCTTGTTAGTGAAACAGAAACTAAAAGGTACTTCCCTGGGTAGTGATATTTCATCGGTGACAACATAGCTACTGTTAGCTTTCATCCTGGATGTGTTTATTTTGGAATTCATTTCAACAAATGCAAATGATATTGTGTTGATTGAAGATTGGATAATAACAAAAACTGACCTAAATGTGAAGGATTCTGTGCTCTATAAATAGGTGTAGTAAATCCTCAGTGACTGTAATAACATTGTGGCCCATGTGATGTATGGATCTGCTGTTATAATAATATTTACAGAGTGTAACATCAGTATTGTGTAACTAGGAATGTATTCATCAGACTCATCACTCAGGTAAAACAACAAACGTATCCAACCTCAGACAGAAACAATAGGCCTATCTCAACATGTGTTAGTGATGTTCTGGATGATTGGTGGGCAATTGGTCACACTTGCTCCCTAACAGTCACTGTTAGATACACAGAACCAAAAAACTCTCGCCACCAGGACCCTGGGCCACAGATTCCAGGCTCCTGGGGTCACATAATAGCCACCACAGCTGGCCACTGTGGCTCAGTAGTGTTATAATGTGATGATGATTGATTGTGTTACAGTTAATAGGTGTACAAGTTCAAATTAATTGTGTTGATGGTGAGAGGGAACCTCCCAGTGTGATTTACTGTGTGTACCAGTGGTACATTAGCAGTGTAGTATTTTAAACATATTTTGTGATAAGGGATTTACAAACGGTAGATTATAAGATTAGTGTGTGTTGCTAATCTTGTTAATTTATCATTGGATTAAGTAATTAGTGTGCAGAAGATAATCTTGCTATTGCTTGGTGGATTATATATAAGAGAAATAGAGATTTTGGTGACATGGTTATGAATTGGACTGAAGAAATGTTTACCTGACATATTTGTACCTTTATTAATATAGTATTTATGTGTAATTGGAAAGACAAAGGCAGGAGGATATTTATGACAGTTCCTGATCAGAGGGTTGTAGCCGAAACCATCACTAAGCCAATATGGTGCTCCTACAGGGTGTATCCAACGCTACCCTGTCCAGTAGTAAAACATCTATAAATAGCAATGTGTCTGATATGTCCAAATCAAGTACTCTGACCAGAGACACTAATGTGTCTGATATGTCCAAATCCAGTGCACTGACCAAAGACACAAGTGTTTTTGACATGTCGAAGTCTGGCACCCTAACCAAGGGTACGTCAGCTCTCAGCGTATCAGACAGTCCTAAAACCAATACATTGACCAAAGGTCAAGGTCAAGGACATAAGTGTGATAAGAAGGATCTCAGTAAGAACTGCAAATGCCAGGTCATCTTTCGGCAGTGCAAAGGTAAGTATTTTTCAAATATTTTAAAGGTGTACCTGTGTTTTCATGTTCTTTTATTATCTTATTTTTGTTTTTCTTTTTTGGTAACATGTTTGATTCAAATTATGCTTGTGACATACTGCTCACGTGAGATATTTGAACTTTGACCTTGTTTTGAATATTTGATAATCAAAATCATAGTGCAATTGTATACTTCCAGGGGAGATCTTGATGAAATACATAGGATGAAACATGAACTATAACCTTCACTCATCTTGTTTTAGGCCTTGCTCGACTTTTGTGTGAAGATAGTGATGTTTAATTACTCGGACCATAAATTGTAACATTCTCATGATACTATCTATATTTCCTGTGAATTTGGATGATCTTTGTAAGCAGCATGTTCCATTTCTGACCTTGAACTTTGACACTGACATGTTTAGTGGTGATGAAGGTCTTTATCTGAGGTTTAAGTTTATCAGGTAACGTGCTATGACGTCAGGAAAGTTATCTGTCTTAACATGTGTTATGACGTCTATGTGATAGCTGCCTCTGTTATATAACACTTGATAGCACACCTGCTGAAAGAAAATTGTGAAAATCAAGGTTTGGAATTAGATTAAACTTTTTTGTATGTTTTTCTGTTCCTAATGTTTGTAATTTGATGATGGTCAACTTATCTTTTGATAAACAAAGATAAAAAACTAATATAAAAACCTGAAGTGCTTGTAAATAAAGGAACCCTAAGTGAAAGACCTACATGTAATTCTGTTATGAAAACAAAACTTTTTTTGTTTTACGTATATTTTAAGCAGAAACTGCAAAATCCACCAATGCATCAACACTTGTAGTGCAATTTTAAAGATAAAATAGACATATATTCTAAGCTACACACTTCAGTCTGTAAATAAAATATGCATATTGTAGAGAAAATTTAATTCTTGCAAAAGCGTGACATGTGCCAGTGAATTTAACACTGATAACTCAAGGGTACTACAGCGAGATTTATATTGGCTGATTAATGTCATGGATATTTGTACAAGCTTGGTAACTTCATTGTACATAAACCTATCAAATTGTTCATCTGTGGATTCTAGCAACTGACTTCATCTTCTCGCTTGGGGCTCAGAAATTATTCTTCATAATATCTTTTCCAATTATGTTACTGATACAAAGTCCTGTTTCATGTGTGTGTTGAAGTGGAATGGAGCCGTTATACCATATCTCTTCCTGTGCCCTGTAAATTGGTAGATAGATGCTTAATTTGTAATCCCAAGTTTAGTTTTGGTACTACAATTTGAAAAGCTTTACCTTTTTTTTATATAATAATGAGTACAGGAAAAACAGATATGTTGGTCTTTCTTTTTGAGGTAATTGATACTTCTCATTAATAAAACATGCTTATATGAATTTTTTTTAGTCATTAATATACACACACACATGTATAACAGAGAGTTTTTGATCCAACAGCTGTCTAGACTTGGCTTCATTGTACACATCTTTGTTTCATGTAGGTATACTCCAAAGTATCCGATTTTAGGACTCCAGTGTTTATTATTGTCAAACAGGAACAGATATTTATAACAAAGCTTTGTTCCATGGCCATAAAAACTAAATTTAATGTTAGAAGAAAGCACAACTTGCTTTTGTGAGTTTATTGTTCTTGGAAGCAATTGGTGTTCTGATGTTCTTAGATATGTTTCTAATATTCATGTGGAGATACATCGTGCAGTGATGAGCAATTTTAATTCTTCAATGCTGTCAAGGGAGTTAACTCTGACAGACTTACTTAAGAACTGACATTTCTACAATAGTTTTATGGTTTTCCTTGAGGAGTACAGCACTTCACTTGTGATTAAATTGTATTTAAAATATTAGTTTGCTTCATATTTCTATATTGAAGTATCCAGGTTATTAAAATGTATACAATTCTTTCATGTGTAAATGGTTTTAATTAAGTAGTAGCTAAATCCTTTATCCTAAAGAATACTTGTTAGTGTATTTCTAGATATTACATGAACGTTCCTTCATGAAGAGTATTATTTCCTTTTTTTTTGGCCCTGAAATATCTTGGTATATACATGTTGCAGGATCACTGACCTAGTGTAATATTAATTGCTTCACAGTTTCCCTGTGACAATTCAAGTGTGTGTTGAACATATCTGTATAGATATTATTTATCTGTACATTCTGAGTCTAAATGTCAACGAACATTCAAATATTTGAGCATGGGTTTGGTAGGGTGGTATTTGAATATATTCATTTGAACTATTATTAATTATCAACGTTTGGAAGATAGCTAAATCCATCCATTCTCTGTTGACTAAGTAAGTTTTTATCCTTAAGAGATTTTTGTCCTCTAAAACATCAAGATATAACTATGCCTATATAATTCAACATGACATAAATTAGCCTACTGTCAGCTCAGGGCCTGATGTCCCCCCTATCCAAGTATGTGAGCTCAGGGCCTGATGTCCCCCCTATCCAAGTATGTGAGCTCAGGGCCTGATGTCCCCCCTATCCAAGTATGTGAGCTCAGGGCCTGATGTCCCCCCTATCCAAGTATGTGAGCTCAGGGCCTGATGTCCCCCCTATCCAAGTATGTGAGCTCAGGGCCTGATGTCCCCCCTATCCAAGTATGTGAGCTCAGGGCCTGATGTCCCCCCTATCCAAGTATGTGAGCTCAGGGCCTGATGTTCCCCCTATCCAAGTATGTGAGCTCAGGGCCTGATGTCCCCCCTATCCAAGTATGTGAGCTCAGGGCCTGATGTCCCCCCTATCCAAGTATGTCAGCTCAGGGCCTGATGTCCCCCCTATCCAAGTATGTGAGCTCAGGGCCTGATGTCCCCCCTATCCAAGTATGTGAGCTCAGGGCCTGATGTCCCCCCTATCCAAGTATGTGAGCTCAGGGCCTGATGTCCCCCCTATCCAAGTATGTGAGCTCAGGGCCTGATGTCCCCCCTATCCAAGTATGTGAGCTCAGGGCCTGATGTCCCCCCTATCCAAGTATGTCAGCTCAGGGCCTGATGTTCCCCCTATCCAAGTATGTCAGCTCAGGGCCTGATGTCCCCCCTATCCAAGTATGTGAGCTCAGGGCCTGATGTCCCCCCTATCCATGTATGTCAGCTCAGGGCCTGATGTCCCCCCTATCCAAGTATGTCAGCTCAGGGTCTAATGTCCCCCCTATCCAAGTATGTCAGCTCAGGGCCTGATGTCCCCCCTATCCAAGTATGTCAGCCAGGGCCTGATGTTCCCCCTATCCAAGTATGTCAGCTCAGGGCCTGATGTCCCCCCTATCCAGGTATGTTTCACACCCCATGCGTGTGGAACAACAAAGATCAAAGCACAGTCCAGTGGTAGTAATTATAAAATAACAGTTAAATGTTCAATGACATTGTCCTAAAGACATTTTAATAGCCACAATGACGACAAGTACTTCAGGAATGATGATGACAATGTTGACACACTAGAGAAAAGTTCTTTCAACAAAAAGATTTGTTGTATGAGGAATCATTCAACATTTCATTAACATTTAGCTCTACTTCTTGTTGTTCTGGGTCTAATAGCACAGGCCACCATTGTACCAGATGTGGATTTAGGGTTATTTTTGTATATTTGTGAATAGTGAAACAATTTATGTTTTGATGTGCTGTGATGATTATTCTATTGAATAAGTCATTTGTATGTTTTAAAAACAATTCTTTCTTTCG